TCAACAGCCAACCAAAAGGGCCCTTGGGTCCTGACATTTTTGAAAGTAGGTCATGTTTTAAAAGAAAATCCCTTGAGCTGGGAGCAGCTCTCTGGAGACTGAGGCTAGAGGAGTAACGTGATTTGGAGGCCAGCTGGAGGCTGCCTAATGGGGTCCAAGCTAGCCTGTGTTACAGAATGAGGTCCTTTCTCAAGGAAAAAGGGAAGAGGAAAGCTCAGGCTCTCCCATACACTAAAATCCACACATGGAAGCATGTGCAAACACACATGCCACACAGAACTGCAAGGAAACGGCCTTTAGTGTTCTTCTCATGTCTGAGCAATAACTCCAAGTTTCTGAGTAGTAACTGTCTTCTCTGTGATTTTAAGCTACATAGGCAAGATCAGTCCTAAAAAGGTCCAGCAACCCCCAAATGCAGATGGGTACACCTGAAAACATCAGCCCTTTGGGAGTTAAAAGCAACAGCTGAGCCTCTCAGGAAACACCAGAGAACTTTGTGCCCAAGGCTTCATACCTTTTAATATAATTGTGGAGAGAGGTGGGAGGGAAAGAGGGGGAGGGGGAAAGGAGGGAGAGGAGAGAGAGCGAGAGAGAGAGAGAGAGAGAGAGAGAGAGAGAGAGAGGGAGGGAGAGGTGTACCTGTGCCACACCATGTATGTAGGCAGAATCAGTTTTTTCTCTGTCTCCTTCCAACTTTATATGCTTTCTAGGAATAGAACTCAGGACATCAGGCTTGTACTACAAGCATCTTTAGCCACTGAACCATCTTGCTAAACCTAAGAACAGAATACTTAAACATGAAATACAAGAAGTCTAGGGGCTGCAGGTAATACTGAGATCCTCAGTTTTCTCTGTCACCAGAGGGGAAAGTGAAGTCTTTACAATACTAAAGGCTGGTGTCAGGTAAACATTCCAGTCCCTTTGTCTGTGGCCCATGAGACTATATTTTGTTTTTGACAAAAGGCAAATAACATCGGTGTCCAAGGTCACTGAGAAGTTTATACCCTGCTTAACTCTGGAAATGTATAAGGAAATAACCCGAATAAAAAGAGAGGTGCTACTGAAGGAAGCCATCCATCACTGGAGTACTTAAAATAGTTGAAATCCTGGGAACGGCCTGGAAAAACTGGCTCATCTGTTCCATGAACTAGTATGCAATTATTAAAAATAATACGATCGCTGGGCTTTGGTGGCGCACGCCTTTAATCCCAGCACTCGTGAGGCAAAGGCAGGTGGATCTCTGTGAGTTCCAGGCCAGCCTGGTCTACAGAGCAAGTGCCAGGATAGGCTCCAAAACTACACAGAG